CAAAAGAAGTTAAAGAACACCCGATTCCTTCATATGGCTATGGTTAGTCATTCGAGGAAGCGATAGAGCGAGAAAGCGATAAAGCGAGAAAGAGATAGAGCGAGAAAGCTATAGAGCAAGAAAGCGAGAAAGCAAGAAAGCGATAGAGCGAGAAAGCGATAGAGCGAGAAAGTGATAGAGCGAGAAAGCGATAGAGCGAGAAAGTGATAGAGCGAGAAAGCGATAAAGCGACAAAACGACAGAGCGAGAAAGCGATAGAACGAGAAAGCGATAGAGCGAGAAAGCGATATTTCCCACAATGCCGTATATTAAAACGTTTTTTGCTGATATTTAATATTTAGTGATCATGTAATTCTCACCGCTATTTTGCCTCTTATGATAAGATTTTTGAAACATCTTGTAGTAGATAAATATGTTACAAAATACACACGTATTTTTTTCTCGTTTCACACACACAATTTTGACAAAACTATACATAACATACCACAATGATATACATAACATACCACAATGATAGCTGATTTAATATATGTTATAGATAATCAAAGTAATGCTTTTCATATTGTTATCAACCTTAACTATGTGGCCACACTAATTATGTCTCTCCATATGTGTAGTTTATGTTAAGTACACATATCAACTGTGGTAACACCATAACGATGGGGGCAGTGGGGTAGCCTAGTGGTTAAAGCGTTCGATCGTCAAGCCGAAGACCCAGTTCGATCCCCCACAAGGGTACAATGTGTGAAGCCCATTTCTGGTGTTCCCCGTGATATTACTGGATTATTCTTAAAAGCGACGTGAAACCATTCTCACTCACTCAATCACAACGGTGTTTATCAAATTACTATATGCAAGTACATATATTTGTAGATTTGCACAAGACAAGAAACACAATTCAAGTTAAACATACATCAAATGCCAAAAAGAACATTTACGTCTGTACAGTTAACAACCTTATGACAAACTGTAACATCATATACTACCGAAAACAAGTTAAAGAACACCCACAATTATAAGATTGTATTTTTGCAAAACAATCAGCCATGACTAATTAACCATAGTCTTCTTAACTTCTTTTGAAAAATATATATGTAGATTTTAACCTGATTTATTTAGAACGTATCGCCATAATCTGCCACGCGCTTTCGGTGTGATGGTCACATACAACTGGATAGGGCCATAAATAAATCAATTACATTTTACGCAAAAATCGGTGGATTGTTTTAAAATCACCTACGTCTGTACAGTTAAATTATGTTTTAAGTAAATAGTGAGAAAAGTTCAACATTACCTCCCAATTGCAGCAGATATCACATGCGGCCCCTGTACTGGTCAAGAGGGGATATTGCTTAACCGCGAGAAAGCAATAAAGCGATAGAGCGATAGAGCGATAAAGCGATAAAGCGATAGAGCGATAGAGCGATAAAGCGAGAAAGGGATAGAGCGAGAAAGCGATGTCCCCTCTCGGCCACCAAGCAGATGTGTAGGATAAACTTAGTCAATAACGATCACAACAATCTTACCAAAATGTTTCGAGCAGGAATATATATAGGAAGAACTAAGTATGAAGCAATATACTAAGCTGCTAACTAAAAGTAATCAACAACACAGGTGTAATGAATTTGTTTTGATTGAATGATGAACTAAGATGATGAAATGGTATGAATGAATAGGACGGCACAAGGACAAGACATGATATGGCAAATGTTAGTAGAGCAGATAAGGAAATTCCCCGCAGTGAAAAATATTTCGGACAGGAAAGAAGAGTGAGAAATTTAAAGTAAGAAATAGGAAATAACTATTTTAGGGTACTTACTTTGCCAAAAGGTATCCATGTGACTTTACAAATTAAATGGCTTACCTTATACCAGTAAACTGCAAATTTATTTACTAAAATTCATTAAATGAGGATGAAAATTATAATATATCACAATTAGCTATCACAGTTAAAGCTGAGTATAAATAGAATTTATCAACATTCTGTAGAGATAAAGGTTGATTTTAAATAAGAATTTAATTAAATGAGAATACTACTCAAAATTTGATAAGGATCACTAGGTGATATGTGTGTAAGTTACCACAAACATAACAAAAGACATGACTCTGACTCAGAAACGTGTTTAATCATGTTATGAATGAAAATGCATGAACGGCATGAACTTGTATCAATATGGAATGTTTGAAATCTGCAAACACCAAAAGGCATTTCATTGAAAAATGTCAACAGCAAACAAGAGAAAGAATAACACAGTTATGAGGGATAGTCTATCATTACACTTAGTCGATGAAGTGTCAATATCGAGTATGACCTCCCCTTGCATCAATGACGGCCTGACAACGTCGAGATATGCTGTCAATAAGCACCCGGATGTTCCCAATGGGAAGGTTGTTCCACTCTTCCACGAGGGCATGTCCGAGCTCTGCCAAAGTCGTGGGTTGTGCTCTACGGCGTGAAAGGGCAACCTGCAGCATGTTCCAGACATGCTCAATCGGGTTCAAGTCCGGCGAGCGCGCTGGCCAATCCATGCGGACAATTGTCTCCTGCTCAAGGTACTGCTCAACCACCCTGGCGCGATGAGGACGGGCGTTATCATCCATCAGGATGAACTCAGGGCCAACAGCACCAGCGTAGGGTCTGACGTTCACATCGAGGATCTCATCCCGGTACCTCACCCCGGTACCTCACCCCCGTCATTGTTCCTCTCTCCAGGACATGAAGATCTGTCCTTCCATCTCTGTTGATTCCACCCCAGACCATAATGGAACCACCACCATAACGGTCATGTTCACTGATGTTGGCATCATGGAAACGTTCATGTTGTCGTCGCCACACCCGCTGCCTCCTGTCTGTAAAGTCCAAACAATACCTGGACTCATCGGTGAACAGAACTGGAACCCAATCGTTCCGTGTCCAAGTGACATGATCTTCAGCCCATTCCAATCGCTCCCGCCGGTGTCGAACAGTCAGGGGGATTCGGACACATGCCCTTCTCGAGTAGAGACCTGCATTGTGAAGACGATTCCGTATCGTCTGAGTGGACACATTCACCCCCGAGGCGTTCAGGAGGTCGTTACGTAGGCTGGTTGCTGTCCAGAAGGGATGACGTCGTGCCTGAAGATGCCACAAAATGATCTTGGCGTTGGGTTGTCGACCTCTGACGACCACCCCCATGTCGGTGTGCTGCTGTACCAAAATTTTGCTGTCGGGACCAGGCCCTGCTAACAACGCTCTGGCTGACGTTTAGTGCATTGGCAACGTCACGTTGTGAATAGCCAGCATCAAGCATTCCAATACATCTGCCCAGTTGTTCTGTCGTCAGGCGACGCCTTACACGTTGATGGGGCATTGCGTAGATAAACGTAGTGTAAACACTCAATTGAGTTTAAAGTTTCAGAATGAATCAGACACCGTTGCCTGATTGGAAATCGTGCAATGGTAGCAAAAGCATGAACTGTGATGTGAAACGCATTTCCCATGGCATGAAATGCACGTGCAAGTGTGTTGGAGACGTTTTTGATTTCACTTGAACACAATATTGCCAGTTATGCAGTTATTTTGTTTTTTTATTAAGAACAATATCTACGATCCTTATCAAATTTTGAGTAGTATATCAAGCATACATGTATATACAATGGAACATCAGTCAACTAATGACATTCTGATAAAATTTGGTTCAGAATGTAGACAAAGTTCATGGTCACGATTCACTGATCAAAAGTTCATTTGTGAACAAAACGACAAATACATGTATATCAGTTAAAATAAAAGTCACACTTCCAGGAATCGGAGGAAGCATCTCAATATAATCTAATTTGTGAAAGCCAGTATGAAACAAATTTGTTTGAGTGGGAGGTTAGGCACCCTACCACAGTTTAGTGGATTTGCCTCCCTTACACCAGTGTGTTGGTAATCGTAAACCGATCACGTGACGCACGTGACTGCATCAAGCTTTTTTCGGCGTACACCAGCAAGCAGCCAAACGCGAATTTCATAGGTAACATATTATTTATCGTTTTAGTGTAATTTCTTGTCCGTACGTTGGTGAGAAGAACGATGTCAGGTCGGAGATCGAGGAAGCTTTATCAACTGACAATGTTGGTTCCTTCATCCCCCAACCAATTAGGTATAAAATACACAATGGGGAAAATGTAGATCTGGCTACCCTGATTAAGGGATTGGATAAGGAGCAAAGTATGGACAGCACTATGAGAGTAAACTCAATGGGTCAATTGGAAATGTCGCGCCAGTCGAAGGACATACAGTCAGTTGAAGAGTGGACAACAGCCTTTATCATATTTGTCAGCATATACCTGGAGAAATTCCCCGAAAGCCACCAGCAAATGCTTAAATATTTGCCCACAATTAGATTGGCCGCCAGTAGGGGCCAGGGTTGGCAAAATTATGATAAACAGTTTAGGTTGCCCATAAGTAGATCCACAGACAAGGCATGGGGTACAATCAACGCGGAATTGTGGATGTTATACATGAATGTCACTCCTCAACCTACGAACCGCAGTTTCACCACTTTCAAGCAGCCTTCACAATCTCCCAACTCCAATCACCTTAAAAGTTGGTTTTTGCTGGGATTTCAATGACCCTGGAAAATTTTGTCGCAGACAACATTGCCGTTTTCCTCATGTTTGCTATCAGTGTGGTGGGAGCCACCCATTCCCAAATGGATTAAACCAATCAGTTACAGGAAATCAACCAACCCCAGAGGTTAATACATTTCAGGTTCGCAACAGAAACCTCCAAAAACGTGCAAGCATTGGGCCACACACCTATCAAAGTAGATAAGCTATTAGCATACCTGGAGTCCTACCCATTGTTAAGTGATGCCGGTGTTCTTCGTTGCGGTTTCACCGAAGGATTTCATTTACATTACACAGGGCCCAGAGAGGCCAGTTTAGTTGGTAATAACCTAAATTCAGCTCAAGATCCCAATATGGAACAAATAATACTTGGGAAACTTTCCAATGAAGTACAATTAGGCCGAATGGCCGGTCCATATCATAACCCACCTTTACCAAACCTGAGGATCTCTCCTATTGTAATTGTTCCAAAGAAAGAAGTAGACGGGTACCGCATCATCCACCACTTATCGTATCCAGATGGTATGTCAGTAAATGATTTCATCAGGCCCAGCCTTTGTTCTGTAACCTATTCATCCATTGACGATGCAATTTTGATGATTCAGCAGCTTGGTCCTGGGGCATACTTGGCAAAGGCCGACATCAAAAGTGTTTTCAGGTTATGCATGGTGCATCCTCATGATTTTCACTTACTAGGAATAAAATTCTTACATAAATATTATGTCGACAAAGCATTACCATTTGGGTGCAGTATAAACTGCTCAATATTTGAAAACTTTTCCACTTTCATCCAGTGGATAGTTCAAACAAAGTTAAATTCTCAAGGTGAGTTGATGCATTACTTGGACGACTACCTGTGCGGAGGATCTGGAAGAGATAAGTCTGAATGTCAGTTAGTCCTGTCAACATTATTAGCAACTTTCGACGAACTCAGAATCCCTATAGCCAGTCACAAAACAGTAACACCAACAACATTAATCAGCTTCCTTGGATTTCAGCTAGACACAGTAAGAATGGAGTTAACCATACCAGCAGACAAAATACAGGATGCTAAGGATAAACTCAGGTTTGTCATGTCAAAATCCAAAGCAACCAAACAGCAAGTAGAGAGTCTCATTGGTTCACTAAATTACATAGGTAGGGCCATTCCCATCGGCAGGGCCTTCCTACGGAGATCCATTGATTCAATTTGTGGTATTAAGAAGCCCCATCATAAAGTTAGGGTAACAAGGAATATGAAAGATGATTTTCAGATTTGGCTTTCATTCCTGGACAATCATAATGGAACGTCATTATTACTGGATCAATGCTAGATTACCAATGAAGCATTACACCTCTACACAGACAGTGCATCAGGAGAGTCATGTGGGTTTGGAGCGTACTTTCATGGACGCTGGACCAACGGTTCATGGCCAGGACATTGGAGGACTTTAGGCCTAACACGAAACATCACGCTGCTGGAATTCTTCCCAGTCTATGTTGCGGTTAACATTTGGGCTGATGCCCTCAGGGGCAAAAAGTTAATAATAAATAGTGATAACCAAGCAGTAGTGTCCATACTGAACAAGCAGTCAACTAAATGTAAGAATACTATGCAGTTTGTGAGGCAGTTTGTACTTCATTGTCTCAACATAAATTCATTAGTCAAAGGTCAGTATATTCCTGGTTTTAAAAACAGCATTGCAGATTCCTTATCTCGTTTTGATCTCCAGAAGTTTCGTCAGCTGAAACCAGAAGCCAGAACCAAACCGACACCAGTGCCCAAAAATCTGTGGCTTATCTAAAATCCGAGGCTTTTGCCTTAATTAAAGCATCAGTGTCGAGCAATACTCAACACACCTATGCAGCTGCATTGAGGTCATTTGACAAATTTCGTCACAATCATAAAATACCTCTGATTTGGCCTGTGCCGGTAGATGATATTTTATGTTACATAGCCAGTATGTCTAGGAAGGCCTTTGCAAGCTCAACTATAGCTCAACATCTCTCAGCTCTTGGCAGACATCACAAAATTAATAGCTGGTCTGACCCTACTGAAAACCTTTTAGTTCGCAAATGCATGCAGGGATACAGAAATTCAGCAGCTCTGGTTTCGACACCTGATGCAAGACACCCAATCACAATTGACATGTTGAAGAGACTTCCTAGTGCCCTCCAGGCTATTTGTATGTCAGGTTATGAAGCTTGTTTATTTGCTGCCATGTTCAACTTGGCATTTTTTGCATTCCTATGGATTGGTGAGATAGCGTTTGTGACCAAGATGAATCAGGACAGAACACTTAAATTGGCAGACGTCGGTATCATTGCACAGGCAGTGCACGTTAAGATTTGCTTTTCGAAGAATGATCAACATGGCAAAGGCACAACTCTGATAATCCCAGGTAAGTCTAATCCTACAATTCGCCCAGTCAGGTCATTAAGTGTATATCTGTCTTTACGCTCAGCCCAACCAGGCCAGTTCTTCATCCATTTGAATGGTAAAGCCGTCACCAGATATCAGTTCTCTGCAGTACTCCGGAATGCCTTACAGTTCCTCAACTTTCACACACAAAACTACAACACACGCTCATTCAGGATTGGAGCTGCTACATATGCAGCAACACAGGGAATACCACATGAGCTACTTTGCATATGGGGTAGGTGGAAATCTGCTGCATACGCTAAGTACATTCGCATCAACATGTTGTAACAACTCATTTTTGACAGAAATATGGCCATTAAGGTCATTAAGTGCATATCTGTCTTTACGCTCAGCCCAACCAGGCCAGTTCTTCATCCATTTGAATGGTAAAGCCGTCACCAGATATCAGTTCTCTGCATTACTCCGGAATGCCTTACAGTTCCTCAACTTTCACACACAAAACTACAACACACACTCATTCAGGATTGGAGCTGCTACATATGCAGCAACACAGGGAATACCACATGAGCTACTTTGCACATGGGGCAGGTGGAAATCTGCTGCATACGCTAAGTACATTCGCATCAACATGTTGTAACAACTCATTTTTGACAGAAATATGGCTTGTCGGCTCCAGCCTTATCTACTGGGCTCACCGGAGAGCAGTTGCAAGGCCAGTGGGATTGGACCTGGGTCTGCAGAAGTATGGACTCAGCTTAACATGGTATGGGAGTAGGGGAATGAAGTGGAAATCATTGTTGCCATTTCTTCAGCAAAAACTGAGGCAAGGTCCTCCACCAGCATGGCTCCTCCTTCATTTGGGAGGTAACGACCTTGGGGACGTGCCAACAACAGTACTGTTACAAACGGTGAGTCGGGATCTTACAAAAATTCATCACATGATGCCTCCTTCACACAAGTCATATGGTCAGATGTTCTGCAGAGGGTCACATGGGGGGGGGGGGGGGGGGGGTATACCAGACAGCAGAGTAATGGAGCGCAAGAGGAAGAGATTTAATAGATTTGGTAGGAAAGGTGTACTAGACCTTGGAGGTCGCGTTCTCGGGCACAATGTAATTAACATAGCAGACAGGGCTTTGTTCAGACAGGATGGTGTCCACCTGTCGGACATTGGCAATTACATTTTCATAAACTCATTGCAAGGGGGTCTTGAGTTATTTGCTGGTTTGTCCTCGTCCAGGCGTTCATTTCAAAACTAGTGTCGCTCGTATTCAGTTCTTATGTTTAATCATCAGGGGAATGAGCTTGCTTTTAACCAAGCTCAGTGGCGGAGGTCGTGGCAGGCAACTCAATTTTCTCATTAACACTCATTAATTGTAAGTAAGTTCAGCCTCAACATGCTAACTGCACCTCATGTAGTGTACCCAAACCACAGAGGATGACAGTGTATGTAATGACACAGGATGGACTGCAGCTCATGCCTCACGTTGTGTTTAGCCACGGAGGATGAACTGAACTGTCATCTCTATTCCGGCCCATTTGGTCATGTGTATATTCCGGCCCATTTGGTCATGATGTGTATATTCCGGCCCATTTGGTCATGCTGTGTATATTCCGGCCCATTTGGTCATGATGTGTATGTTCCGGCCCATTTGGTCATGATTTGGTAGTTACTCCATTGCGTCACGATGTGTACCCATCTAAACCTCGGACGCAAGCAATGTAACTGCATTGCTGTGTACTGTGTAACACTGCTTGTCGCGACTTCCCCCTGTATTGTTATGTAATAAAGCTGCGCCCGTTTTTTGCCACTGAAGAAGCATTGGGTTATCTTTTGTATTCTTTCATTCACACTTAAACATTGATGCAGACGAAAAGTTCAACGTCGTAACAAAGTGTGTGTCAATGACGATTGCAGATCAAGATTTAATTATAGTCAGAATTATAGGTCAACGCTACACACACACAGCTTCCACAAGTTGCATGGAAGAAACATCTTGAATCCTTCAATGAAGAATCCTTCAATGAAGAATCCTTCAAAAATGATGAAGTATTACCCCCAGAACACGATGAAGTTGATAAAGCTCCACGTTGGGAGCCAAATTTGTAGCCGGGGTAGTGGTAATGATCCGGCTCGGGCCGTTGGGAAACGCAGACACCGGCAGATGATGATAATGTGTTTATTACAAGGGGTGCCTGCTGTTGAACTATCTGAAGAAAAGAAAATGTCCTTCCTCCTCAACAGCAGCACATGAAGTCATATATTTGCAAGTTTACAGGTATTATTTATCTTAAATATATAAGTACAAAATTTTATAACTATGATAAAACTAACTTTAAAGTTAAATTACTGTTATAAGTTCACTATAGGACACTTGAAAAGCACATGGGCCAAACTGGAACATGTGGTTAATTATTTTACAAGTTTTATAATATCAATATTCCATTCATTAATTTAATATTACTTTAAATGATATTATATACATTATGCAATTTAATTCAGCACCCTAATATAGATATTAATTTCTGACAGAAGCAGATGAAAACAGATTGAAATGTGGCCATTCCATACCTGAAGAAAAGAAAATGTCCTTCCACCTCAACAGCAGCACATGAAGTGAGGAGGAAGTCAGGTATGGAAGGAAGCTACCTGTAGAGGACCAGGGTGGCCAATTAGAAGACAGATTGCATTAAGCATCAAAGGAAGTGCTTAACGCAATATATAAATAGACTGAGGGAAACCCTACAGGTGTGAAAAATGTCTAAAGATAGACAGAAGGGTGAAGGGGAAGATCTGGTGAGACTGAAAAATAAGGGTGTTGAGTTGTTTAAAGAGTTATATACTGATATTCAACTGCAGACAAGACAAACATTGAACATATAGATGATTATGATGATGATGTATGAATAATGATATAACTAGGAAGAATTTGATAAAGGTACCCTGCTACATCAGCATCGTCCAACATTAAGCTGACACGCCGTGATGTAACTGGAATCAAAGCGACGTTAAACCCAATTCACTCACTCTTATGGTTGATCGTGTTATCGATGCTATAAACTAATCCGTTAAACTTTCACGATCAGGTAATTATGCAAATTATTGAGGTCACCTTGCAGGAACTACTATTGGTAAGTTCTATACATCGATACGATGCAAACTCGCTCAAACAAGTTTCTCGATGTTTTTAATGTATATTAGATTATATGGTGGGTAGACTCTAAACGTGGCAATATTGCGACAAACAAATTTCCGTTTGTTTTCAAATTGTGGTAAATGTGTTGATTTACTCGTTTATTTTTTTATTTATGTTGTGTTTTTGCTTTTGATACACAGAAATGTGTTAAGTTAAGTAAGATGTACACTGCCAATAAGTAACATACGAAATGAATGAGCCGAACATTCCTGAATCCGTGTTGGTTAGCTTGTTTTGGTACTGCACTTCGTAAAAGCCAAACCCTTGTTTGACAAAGCCGGCTTCCTTAATGTAAGAAGGGAAACACTGAATCGAGTTGAAATGAATCGTTTCCCCCTTGGTCTGAGTCCCGGCGCTTGATGTAATTCCTTTGTGTTTGAACTCACATTACTGCAAATCAGTTGGGACAATAAATTGGGCGGTTCACTCAGGTATTGTATTCCTTCGCGATTTCTAAATTTACTTCAGTGAATGAAAATATGTCTTTGATAATTAATTTTAAGAATAATGTATATGATGGAGATTATAACGATTGTGTATTTAGGTATCAGTTAATTTATATTAGGAATACAAAAAATGTATAACATGCTCACCAAAGGAAATTTTCATTGATAGTGTAATACTATTTGCCATGGGCATTTTGTGGGCCCTGACAACTGCACTGAATAGTCGAGCAACTGCACTGTATAATTGACCAAGTCAGCAGAATAATAATTGGTCAGCTGACGTACTGATATAAGCAGCCTAATTGCTAACATAGTGAATGTCAAGTACTTATGTAAACAGCATAATTGTTGACATTGCGACTGTCAACTTAATCAGAACTGACTAGCTCAGCAGAATAATGATCGGTCAGCTGCCTTTGAAAACAGGCGGGTTGTGTTAACAAGGGAGAACCGGCAAACCATTGGAGGAGCGCAGTCACAGTAGTAGAGAGGAAAACCAGGGACAAGGAGAGACGAGCAGTGACCAGCCAGACCAGCACCCAAGTGTCAACGTGACTTCGTCGTCTTCCTATGTTCGACTCTGTAACTACTGATCGCTCGGTTCTGTACTTCTATTGGGTTAATAAAGAAACCATTCTTTGCCAACACCACGGCTTGTCGTTCTCATTGCACGGAGGTGTTACACTAATAAACCGGGCGGCAAAAGAAAGTATAGGTCGAGTTCCATGATCGGTAACAAAATAACAAGAAGAGGTTTTGTTGTGAAATTATAATATAATCTAGGGAGGGGTAACAAATGATTGATCAACCACAGTTTGAATGAAATTGTGCAATCACAGGTAATGGAAGCTCAAGGTAAACAATAGTGGGGTAAGAAATTTCATTTTCAAAAGTTGTCTGAAATGTCACCAAAAAATTGTCAGACACACTACAAGTTCATTGTCGACACAGTTGCCTTCAATAGCGTGTATGACCTCCAGCTGCCTCAATGCATGCTGTGATACGCCGCCTCATCGATGACGTCAGTCTTCTGATGACGTGGACTGGAATCCGTTGCCACTCGTCTCTCAGGGCTGCAATTCTTGTCTGTTGATGGGAGGCTGATGGCGTGCTCTAATCTGTCTGTCAAGATGGTCCCACAGATGTTCAATAGGATTCATATCGGGTGAGTTGGCAGGCCAGGGCAAAACATCAACGTTCTGGTGGTTTAGAAAGTTCCGAGTCAGTCTTGCAGTATGGGGCCTGGCATTGTCGTGTTGAAACAATGTCCCCTGTTGTTGGTTTTGTAAGAACGGAAGCACAACTAGCTGCAACACTTGATCTCTGTACTGCACAGCGTTAAGGATACCCTGCATAATCACCAAATCAGTCTTCTGATCTCAACAAATACCGCCCCACACCACGACACCTCCCCCGCCGAATGGATGGACCTCTCGAATACACGCCGGAGCCAAACGTTCCTCTCTGCGTCGATAAGCTCGTTCTCTGCCGTCATTTCGAAACAAGTTAAACCGACTTTCATCAGTAAACAGCACTCGACAATCCCACTTGCCAGCGTCGAACCTGCCTCGCCCATCGCAGTCTCAGGCGTCGATGTTGAGCAGTCAGTACCATTCCTCGGAAAGGACGATTCGCTCGGATTCCAGCAGCACGAAGTCTTCGTAGTACTGTACGTTGGCTAATGGGATGTCCCAACGCTGTTGCTGTCGTCGCCTTCGCCGTTACGAATCTGTTTCGCAGGTGAATGAGCCGTATCTGACCGTCTTCCAGTGGTGTTGACACTCGGGGTCGTCCGGTTCTAGGCCAGTCCTGTGTCCTCCCTGTCTGCCTGTACCGTTGAATCAGCCTGGCTACTGTCAATGGTGTACAACCAAACCTTCTGGCAATTTGGACCTGTGTTGCCCCCATTTCGGCCATACCGATGGCTCTCTCTCTCTCTCTCTCTCTCTCTCTCTCTCTCTCTCTCTCTCTCTCTCTCTCTCTCTCTCTCTCTCTCTCTCTCTCTCTCTC